TTTAAAATGGAGTAATAGAACATTTATAGATGAACAAGAATTTCTTATATTTAAGCAATAACACTTTTTATAATAAAATGATCTAATTCTGAATTTCAAACGATACTTTCGGATGGAAAATTCAATCGAGCAAAAACAAAACATAATTATATAAAATTATCATGAAATGTCATTTGGTAACCAGCAATTATGCTTAGGTATGATTTATGTTTTAATACAATACTGTTGTATTAAACTATGAACAATGTTTTATATCAAATTAAAATTAAATTGAAGTTAAAACTCTAAATTTTTTCTTTGTATACATTAACTTATGCCATTTTATTTTTTAAACATTTCGAAAATTTTCGCTAAAACAAACCTTTTTATTCATTATTGAAAGGATTATTTTGAAATGCAAAGGATATTAGAGATAAGTGAAATTAACCAATTTTCGTATTGTTTCCTAAATAATTAATCATTAAAATACCTGTGAAAACGATTATAAACTTTATAATATTTATTTATGCACAAATTAGTCAAATGCAAAAAAAGGATTATTGATAATATGCAAATTTGCGAAAATTTTTATATTTTGCATTGTTAAAAACTTATCGGAAAAGCTTCAAAATAATTTTGAATAAATAATTTTGAAAATTTTCATGAATCAACGAGATTGCTTAATAATTGACTTTAGCGCATTTGATAAAGCGATTGAAAATATAAAAAGTACAAGCGATAATCTGGAAACTATGAACTATATTCAAATAATTTAGCAAGCCAACCAGATTTGGGCAGCGACCGTGTAAAGGCTAAGTGAAAGATTGCATAGTATTTCAGTATTTATTAAGGGAAAAGTTATGTGTATAAGTATAATAAATTCAATATGATAATAAAGTTATAGTTTAAAAGGATTAAAACAGAAAAATTACTTTTGGCTCATTTATTGGATTGAATCAAATCTTGTTGGTTATTACCTTAGCACAATTTTAAAAGATATGGAAAAAATATTTTTTCAATTTTGAATTTTATTCGAATATTTGCCATTTGACGCCTTTCTTAAAATTCAAGAAATTTCTCAGTTGTATGAAGCAAATTGTACGATCGTTAATGAAATTTGTGAAGTCAAATGAAATCAATGAAATCAAATGAAATTTTAGTTTAATTAAAATATATATTTTCTTATTTGATCTCAGTGGACAATCATTGAAAAAATGCTATGAAAATTGTAAAAAAAAGGATTGAAAGCAAGCATTTCGATAAACGAGGTGCCTTATCCTTGTCATACAATCAATATTTGTGATACGAGAAGCGACGATGACAAATGAGGATGAGATTTTTCGATTGACTTTGTTTGTGAGGTATGCGTTATCATGCATAATCGAAAACCATATTAGGCAACACTATCATCATTTATCAAATCAGAGAAAATTCAGAATATTTAAATGAAGAAAAATCGAATGACTCAAAAAATACATATGAATCTAGGAAATTGTATATTTAGAATGGAGAACAATTTTGTGGATAAAAATGATTTCATTTAGAAACTTTTCCCTAAATAAATCGTAAAAACTTTTAAAACAGCTTGAAATAAAAATAAGCATTCTTAGCTAAGCTATTTTGTATTTTAATTTTTTTTAATAAGAATTTTTAATTTTTTAATAATGCAAAATAATAATAAACTTAAAATAAACTAAATATTTCTTTAAAAAATTGAAAATTTCATTATATTAATTGTGCATTAAGATAAATTTTTATTTCATTTCAAAGGATCTTAAAATTAATGAAAAAATAAATGGTGGAAAATTCATTATTTTACATTAAATTATTAAAATTCTATTCTTTGTCCGAAATATGTTATTATTAGCATAATTATTATATTAGTTTTTTAATTATCCATTGATTACGACTTATATGCGAAGCATTTGATATGTAAGAACTATAGCGATTGCAAATACTTAAGCAGTTTCTTCACGATACTTGTGATAAATAATGGTTAAAGGTTTGCGAGATGTGGATGCAACACAATGATACAAAACTGCATAATGATTCGCACAGTGATTCTAATCCAGGATAGTTGCGTAGGAATCTTTCTAATCCAAAAATTTTAAAGTTGGCAAATAATTTAAATTTCCTCAAAATTTTATGCCGCAATTTAACGCACAAAAATATTGAAACTTTTAAAATCAATTAAGAATCGAAAAATTTTTATTTATTCATCAATCTGCAAGGAAAGCTTTGCATAAAAAATTTTTGCAAATTTTTATATTTAGAATCTCGACAACAGTTTTTTATCGCTTTATGTTTAAATCTTTTCTTTCATCAATTTCAATTCATCCTTTTCAAAAACAAATTTTTTTGATTATATGCATCTACGTGCATCTTAAGGGTTTTAATATGAATATTTTGGATGTAATTTAGTCATAACGCTGTAAAAGTAGTAAAGATAGGCAGTAAAAGAACTAAATGAACTAAATAAGAATAAAATGAATATAATTAAAATCTTTCATAAAAATCCGGAGAAAAAACAGTATATCAGGGGAAGGAATTATTAATTCCATTTATACGTATCCAATCACTCGAAGCAATTAATAAAAACTTAGATGAAACTTGAGTTATTCCTCTTTAATTAAAATTAAATCCGATACATTTTCCGAGGCAAATAATGAAGTATCTTAATTTAAAAAACCTTTTAATTTATAATTAGGGTAAATCTATAGTATTAATGAAATTCATAAATAAATAACTTCAAAAGATATTTAAAAAATAAAAAATAAAATATTAATAAAATAATAGTAAAGAGTAATAAAAAATTAAAAATCAGTATCAGTATCTTAATAATTAATAGTGATATACAAATATAATGAAAAAGAATCTATAGTGACAGAAAATAATGAGAATGTAATCTGCATAAAATATGGACTTTTTTCTAAAGAGCCGCTACTGGTCAAGCTGGCTTGTCACACTGGACAAATATAGGTAGGGAGCTTCTTGGCGATAGAACTACAGGTGAATCACCAGGATAAAATATAGATTAAAAATACACTTAAAAATACATTTACAAAAATACATTTAGAAAAATACATTTAAAAAAAAATATATAAGTATCATTTCTCTATTTTTATCGATACTATTTTTAAATCAGAGAAAAAATTTGAGAAGAAGAGATTTTGATTTGAGGAAGAGGTTAAGACAGTCTGGAGATTTAAGATAGACAAATGCAATGGATTCAGTTTAGCAAAATGAATAAAAGGGAAGCAATTTGGCGATAATGCACTAAGGATGCATAAAGGAAATGTTTATTTGCGATTTGCCGGCTGAACAGAAATCGACAAAACAGAAAAATAAGAGAATAAGAAACGGGACGCGGAATTATGCTTATCTATCCAATCATTATTATCGACTTAACGCAGTCTATTTTGCCGCAGCGAATGGCTTGACACTGACAATGAGTAACGTCAAAATCTCAAACACTCTTTTGTGCTTTATTTCTCATGAATCTTGTAATCATGAAAAATTGAAGAATTGAAGGTTCGATTAATTTTATTCCCATAAAATCGCCAACGAAACATTGATAAATAAGGATTTTAGAGGGGGGATTTATCATTAATAACAATAATTTTTTATTTATTTATAATAATTTCAAAAGGCTTTAATAGACATAAATAATGGAAAACTTCGAAACGATTTGGAATCAACGAAAAACTCACAATTTTTTATAGATTTTCATCTATAAAATAGCGAAGAATTAATTTCATTTCGAAGAACGATGACTAAAGTTTCAACGAGAAAGAAGAGCAAAAATTCAATGAACTGTAAATTAATAGAATGAAAAACAAAAAATTTTTAAAACTTCAAATAAAAGAAAAAGGACTTAAAGAATATTGCTTATTTAATATTGAATATGACAAGTCAATAACGAAAAACAGAAATTTCGAATCGCGAAGAAGGTGTATAAGCCAGTGGAAAATCAGCGAACGCATGAAATGCATCTTTGCAAATAAATTGTTAAAAATATTATGATCATTAATAAAAAAATCTTCATTCATCCAATGCAATATGTCCTTTTAGATAATAAAATTACTAAAAATAAAAATTCAAACAACAAAATGTTTGTCTCAGGAATATAATTTTAAAGAAAACGGATTAAACATGCGTCTAAATTATGAAATTATGAAAACAGATTAAATATGCTTCAGAATCTATCCATTTCCACTTTTTTCTATATTTTCTAAAACACTAACGGAAAAATTTGAAATTTGAAGTGAATGAATCAAACAAAAATTACCAATTAATAAAAATTACCAAAAATCCATAATTTTTTTAAAACTTTTAGAAATTTTATTTCACTTTTCGATTTTCAATTTCACTGATTTTGTGACCTTTTTCCTTTTTTGGATTCTATCAGTAATTACCAGTATGTTGAGAACATTTCGCCGGAAACTCACATAAGTAAAGGTGGACTAGCAGCAGCATATATTTCACATTTCGACGAAAGGCCTACTTCCGCCAAGAAACGGAAAAAAAAAGATAAATTACTTATATTAGTTTCTATTTTTAAAATTTCCTGGGTTCATTTATTTATATATGTAATTAATATAAATAAATATGTAAAAGCTAGAAATTAAAAAAAAATAAAGTGGAACAATTATATATTTTAAATGAGCAAATATTCGATTTTTAATCGCTTGTTTTGCTTATTATTTTGTTCAAGGAAATGAAAATATTTTATTATTTCAGCGGTCGTATAAATGTTATTTGTTGTAAATTTGTCATTCATTAGACGAATTAATGGCTGAATAATAATAACAAAAACATTGCATTTAAAGTAAATTATTTGTTCTTTTCCGATCTTTTCAGCAGTTCTTTGCGAAAACGAAAATGTTTTTAGATTTCATTTATATTTCCAAAGAAAAATGTTGAGGAAAAGAAGAAATTTAAATTATTACTTAATAGTTTTTATAAAAACGAAAAGTTAAAAGTATGATTAGAAGAGAATTTTTGCTAGGAAAGAAGTCAGTTCAATTGCACATTTCAATATGAATTTGATGAGTTTTAACATTGGCTCTTTGATTAATACAGAGGAAAGGTAAAGTATTCAAGAACCTTTTGTTGACAAAATCGTCGAAATTAATAGCTCGTCGACTGCTAACTGAGAGACCAGTTCGGGTAGAACGACGTCGCATTTTTTTCACTTCGCTTGTCTGAGGCAGTGTTGTCGTATCGCTAAATGACCCAGTTCGATTCCTACAACGTTGGCTTGTCGCCATTGTTGCATCTGTTCGCTTTATTATTGGTCTCATTTCTCTAAATAAAATTAATTAAATTTGGAAATTTATTTTTTTGCATGCATGAATTAATAATAAATAATTTTTAGACTTTGCAATCGGATTCAGGCAATATTTTTTGCATAAATTGTATTTTATTCGTTTATATTTAACAATTCGATAATATTTAAAGACTGATCGAGAATGATAAGTGAAAACAAAATTACAAAATATTTTTTGCACAAATGCTTATTATTTTGACGACGATCAAATAATGCATTAGCATTGTTTTAATACCAATGACAACTTAAAATATAAAAATAAAACACAATAATAGCTATATTTTATTAGTAAAAACAAGCTGATTGAATAATATTGTGGATAATTCTTAATTTATCTTTAAAGTTCTGAGAAGCTATACCAGAGGGCAATTCATTTCAGTTAATGCAGTTAGTGATACAAATTAAAGTTTTATGGGGCAGCACTCTATACACCCTCGCTTCCGAGATTATCTTCAATTCATAACCTCAAGCCATATTCAAATTTAAAAAGAGTTCCTGGAATTTCATGCAATATTGAACAGAACCAATTAATATCTTATAAAGAGTGGAATTAAGTGCTGTTTAATTTTCCTAATTCTTAATAAATATGAAATATAAGTTTACGAGCACTAATGGATTACTCTTTATTTATATTTAAGAGATAATTATAGCATAGCAATATTCATAAATAATAAAAGCTAATGAAGATTGCATTAATAATTAATTTTTTAAGCGGCTAATCAGGATTTTTTATTGGTAGGTTAATCCTGCAGGAGATGAATTCACCCTAAAGCTTGAGACAACAATCTGTGCAACAACCATTCTACCGGTAGTACTCGAGGTTTGTTTCTTAAATCATTTGCTTTCTACTAATCATAATTCAGAAAATCATAAAATAATCAGCTGATCAATGATGCTGACCAATTAATAGAAAAGTTGTTAGCAAATTGATTGGATTACTTTTTATTGAATAGATTTTTTGATAAATTTAGCTATCAATTTATAAAATTTCAACCGTTTTAATTGGTCCCGCCTTTCCAAGAAAACTTGACAAAAAGAAGGAAAATGAAATAAATGAAGCCTAACGCTGGAAATGAAATTGTATAATTGTTGCTATAATCTCAGATCATTCTTCTTCTTCTATTCTAATAGCTTTCACCATCATTGGTTATGCTGGCTCTGTTGGCTACAAGGGTAAAGCGCTTCAGAGCTGATCGATCTGATACTATCGCTGATAGTAATAGAAGCCATTCCTTTTTCCACTATCTAAATCAATAAATCGCTGGTCTATACGTTCAAAATCTTTCTGACTGTATCAGTCCAAATCTTGATTGATCCTCATCGCTTTTCACTCCATCCTCAGATGGTTTAGCAATTAATGAAATATATATCAATTTTCAGCGAAGGCAATGTAATGGTACTGCTAATGCAGTTAATATCTAAGTGAAGGTAGATCATGTGAGATTTATCTGCTTAATGGACCTATAAAATGCACTTTGTCTTAGATATTAGAGGTAAAAGATAGATAGTTTTTAAATATCATCCATTCTCATGCCTCGTACTAAAATAGCAAGAACGAGCGAATTACAGCTATATGGACGCGGATTTTCGTCTTTATGGTAATTTCGCGACGGTTTCATTAACCGGAAAAATATTTCTAGCTGTCGTTGTCCGGGTTACAATTATACTATTTAATTCTTATTAATTCTTTAATTTAATTCTTAATTTAATTCTTTGACTACCCATTTTGGATTAGAGTGGATCCAAGATATTTAATAGGACACTTCCTCAACTAGCAATGAATTGATAAAAAAGGTATTTTATCAGGATGTTATATATAAAACGAAAACAATTTCGTTTACATTGATTTTAAGTCCAGTTCTCACTGCGATTGTTGCCACATTGTTTGGTATTATGTACATTTACGTCGTAGCTGTTCAGCAAAAAGGACTACAAAAAATCTCAGATCGACCTAAGAGCCCCAAATTAAAACTTTTTTCTGATGAATTTTACTTATAAATAGCGGTCAAGTCATCTTTTCATTCACTTCACAATTTGCGTGCTTATTCAAAATACGCAAATACTAACGCATAAAATATAAATTATGCAAATGAAAAGATGTAAAAGAAAAATATTTCGAAAATAAATATGAATATGAATATATGAAAAGAAAGAACATTTTAGAAATTAAAAAAATATAAAATATTGCAAGAAATTTCAACAATACAATTTCAACTTTTTCTATCCAGCTGAAATAAAATTAGATAAAATATTTTGCTAATAAATGTAAATTCACACAGTAAAATTTTTAAAATTTATTCATTTCTGAATCGATTAAAATTTTGCATAAATTCTTTATATTTAAAACTCCTTATTTATTCATCCAGAAATTCATTACTTCCTCTGATCCTCTGCAGACTAATAAGATGAGAACACTTCGCCAGAAAGTGAATTGGAAATAAATAATAATTGGCAATAAAAGTATAGGTGGTACTCAGTACTCAGTACTACTCAAATTTTGATGATAAGTTCACTATTTGGCAAGTCGAGAGGGAATCGAATACTTAACCTCAGTCGAAGAAACACTTAACTATCCTCCTCATCCACTTTTTCCTCTTTGCTTCTGATAATACTCGTTATATATTCCCATCGCCATTTTTCAAAACATACCGTTGTTCCATAATGAAGACGCACTCTTAGAAATATCCATAAAGACAAATTAAATGATTACTCAAAGCATAAATATCACCGTAGAATAAATTGTTTTAAACCTAAAATTTTGCGTAAAAAATAGTAAGAATTTCAATGGGTATAATTGTACAAAAGCGGTTCAAATATTCTTAATTCATCTAAATAAAATACGAAAAAATTAACTAAAAAAAATTAGATTTTAGATACAAATTAATTAATAAAAACAGAAGAAATTCATTATCACTAAACTAAGAGGAAATTGGGATTCAGAGACTCGAAAAATAACAACGAATAATATTTGTGAATAAAAACCGTCAAAGAAAAAAATCAGAAACGGATATGCAATTTATCCAATATATCCAAAGATGAATCAATTCATTTTTATTTTTCATTTCCCAACTTTATTGAAAAAGAATATAGCAATTATTATAATTGAGAAAATATTTAATTAAAATTCAAATTCAAAAGAAAAAATCTAAGGAGAAATTAAATTGTACCAACCAACCGCTCTTCAAATTAGCCAAACTTCACCAAATTTTAAATTAGGCCAAAAAGAACTTTTGGATAGATGCATTAGCTATATGTAATTGAATCCATTAACGCATTGGATTACGTAAATTAATATCGGAAAAAATTCAACTTGAAAGAAATTATGATTTCAGTTTATGAATACTATAAGGAAGATAATTTACGAAGAAATTAGCGCTTATGCTTAGAATTTATTGTCCAGAAAAAAATTTTAATTTCTCAAATTTTCCACATTTCATATTAACTATTCTATGCATCTGTATTTAAAAGATATTTTGCAGAGTCCATTTATAATTTTGTGTATTAATTGAGAATTTCATTTACTATTGTTTTTTTATAACTGAAAACCAAAATTTGCAAAACAAATTATTTTATCCAAAAGTTTATTTTAAAAGAAGAAAAACAATTAATGATCAACCATTACTGCATTTGATTAATTTCCATCTAAAACAATGCAGATTTTAAACGTTTGATTTGGTTAATTCAGTTTGTGCTAAGATTTTTAGAACATTTTTTATTTGTTTGTCCATAATTAAAATTCGCACTGAACTAACCAAATTTATCAATAAAAAGAATATTTAAGATTCAAATGAAGGAAAATTTGTGAAATTAGTTCAAATAGGGGAAATCACGTATTACATATTTCTTCTTAAAAGCACGAGAATACAACTATTGATGACAACCAATGAAATTGACAAAACCTTCATAAAATGCTGACAAAGCCTTGAAATAATTCAAATATAAATTAGATTCTTCCAATCGCATTAAGAAAAAACAAACAAAATTGCCTGTTTTATATGATAAAAATATTTTAAGTATGGGAGCAGTTATTTCAGTTCTAATAATTTGGTAGAGGAAATTCGCAACGAAAAATAATTTTGATTCATTTGAAATATTTGAGACATTATACGCCTCCCAGTTACTGTAGTACTGTAAATACGACGAAGCTCGAATATTATTACTACTGAAATAAACAAGCGCCTTTATGAAAAATTATGCACAAAGGAAAGGAAAATAATTGACGTTTCAAAAAATGAATGAGGCTGAAAAGAATTAAGGAAGAAGGACGAAGGAAACCGAAAGTATTTCTAAGAAAATCTCGAAAGGACGAAGAAATTTCAATAAAAATTAAAATATAATTAAACTATGTGCAATTTTATATTGAACTACCATGAGTCTTAACTAAACTATTTTAAATTTATTCAGTGCAAACTATAAGAATAAGCTATAAGAACAATTTCCTCTTTCTTTCTTTCACTATCCTTTCTAGCATTTTCCTCAGCTAGTATAGTAGTACAATAAAATTTAGTTCTAGAAATATCGTCCACTTCTCGTTTGCCGGCTCTACGGATGACTACTTCACCACTATTAAAATAGATGTGCATTTGGCAGTCAGTTACTTTAACAACAGTTTACTGCTATTAAGATGCAAGAATCAAATAGAATTACATATGGTCCTCGTTTATTTATCTATTTCAATAAACAATGAAAAACTACAATTATTAAAAATTTCTGCAAATTTCTGTATTTGCTTATTGAAAAAAGTACAATTTTTATACAGTTAAGTACAATTACAGTTGAATACAATGTTTCGTTTTCTTCTTTAAATCAAATTGAATTAAATTCCATTTTATACATAAACGATTAATAATGATTGAATACTTAACTATATAATTGTATAAAACTTCTCTGTTCCACCAAAAACTCGCAATTTTAGAGTCGCTTGTAGCCTCCAATAACTAACAATTTAATCGAAAGCAATTAGGGAATAGCTGT